TAAAGACCCCAGTCTGCTCAGTGTGAAGAACGGTGTCCGTTTTTGTCTTTGTATTGTTTAGGAATACCTGTACACGTAATTTTTTTTTGTCAATGCGGATATGTCGTCGTGTGTGCGTGTGTGCGTCAGTATGTTTTGTTTTTGTACGTAAGAGTTTGTTTTCGTTTGTTATCTGTAGTGGATGATTGGGTTCCCTCTTTGTACAGTAACCTTTGTGTGGTAAATATGTGCGATCCCCGACGGTAGACCAACCCTTCTGTGGACTAGCATCGTGCCCAGGGAAACCCATTATAGCCACTGAATACTAAGACTTAACTGTCCAACCACCTGTGTCATACCAGAAATGTTTCTTTACATTTAACAACAACACCATATAAACGTCAAGGTAGAAAACAAAAACATAAGGAGCACCAGCAAATACTCACCTGTTGATTATAGCAGGCAGGTAACCTTTCACGTGTTGACCAATGACCATACTCCGGATTCTTAAAGGATTGTGCGTTAATATTCCTAAGCTAAGGATAACATTGAGCAACTGTTTGTAAGTCTAGTTCCACCACGCGACACCCTTAAGTTAGGTTAAGTTTGTTTAGGTTAGGTTAGTGTAACAGTGAGGACTTGGGATTTATGGTTTTTTTAGGACAGGCGTTCACGACAGCCATTTATAATATAAGGGTGATAATATATTTTTTTGCACAGAAGCATAAAGGTGAATATGAGGCTACATAGTCCCGGCTGAAGACTCGAATTGTACAGTATATCTCACTGTCAGGGCTGATGGCTGTCTCGCACACACAAACAAACCAAAGGATGGCCACTTTCCCATGGGGTTGTGATATTCCACCTTTTTGAGGGCGGGGTTTAAGCTAACCAATCACTGGAGCAGCAATTTGAATGTGACCAATTGAATCACAGGAGTCAGAATTGGGAGGAGCCTTTAGCACATCTAAGCACGCCGGCTGTGTTTTTATATAGAATCCCATCCACAGACGTTAGTGCCAAATTTACAGAGAGATCCAGCCTAGACAGACGGACGCGGAGCTATACCAGAGGCTGATTAAGACCCTCCAAGGGGAAAATTTACTACTGTAATCACATATGTGTCTGTAAGCGTGTTAGTAAATGCCCAACTTGTAATATAACCTGTCACCTGTCCCATCGCGTGTTTGAATCTCTGTCCTTCCCCAACACCTACCGGTAACTGGGTACTAGAATTATTATTATTATTATTATTATTATTATTATTATTATTATTATTATTATTATTATTATTATTATTATTATTATTATTATTATTATTATTATCATTATTATTATTTTTTTTTTACTATTATTATTATTATTATTATTATTATTATTATTATTATTATTATTATTATTATTATTATTATTTTTTACTATTATTATTATTATTATTATTATTATTATTATTATTATTATTATTATTATTATTATTATTATTATTAATTATTTCACCACTTCTCAGCCTATGAGCCATTCAGGTAGTTAGTAGTTCTTTCTTAGCTACTTTGCTATGAACTGTATTTGTCCAGTGTCATGCTAGTGCTTTAAGAATATACTCTGTGTTCAGTGACGGTCCTTCATTAACTTAAACCTGTATCCACCTCACCCTAACCTCCCCTCACCATTCTAGTTTCTACTCTCTCCCTCCTCCTCAGTGGTTAGGTATTGTGTAGCACTCACCCTCACTGTCTTCCTCCAACACTCCCCTCTCTCCCTTACCAACGGTCCGACCTCTAGCATTCACCCTCACTCTTCCTCCAACACTCCCCTCTCTCCCTCAGCCAACCTTCCTACCTCCAGCACTCACCCTCACTGTCTTCCTCCAACACTCCCCTCTCTCCCTTACCAACGGTCCGACCTCTAGCATTCACCCTCACTCTTCCTCCAACACTCCCCTCTCTCCCTCAGCCAACCTTCCTACCTCCAGCACTCACCCTCACTGTCTTCCTCCAACACTCCCCTCTCTCCCTTACCAACGGTCCGACCTCTAGCATTCACCCTCACTCTTCCTCCAACACTCCCCTCTCTCCCTCAGCCAACCTTCCTACCTCCAGCACTCACCCTCACTGTCTTCCTCCAACACTCTCCCTCACTTTCACTACCTCTCCACCATATAGTACTGAACAACAGAGAAGTAATAAATATTAGTTTCATGATCAAAGTCAACTAATGGAAGTTAAAAGTGAATTAAGATGAAAATAAGTAAATTGAACAGAATTGTCATGTTTATTATATTAGTTGGATTAGGTTAGGTTAGGTTAGGTTAGCTTAGGTTAAGTTAGGTTAGTTAAAGTTGGGTTGGTCAGGTTATTAGGTGAGGTAAGGTTGGGTTAGGTTAGTTTAGTTTGGTTAGATTAGTCTGGGTTAGGTTAGGTTAGATTAGGTTGTTTAGCTTAAAAGAGATTATGGACATCAGAGTACTTTAAAGTGGTGATGACGTGTGCTGTGCTGCCTGGCTGGCGCCGTCGTAAGTGATGTCACGCAGCGAGAAGCAATCAGGTACACTATAATTGGGTTCACTGGAGCGTCGTTTGGGAGAAACCACAAGACAGTCAGTCCTTGGCGAGGTGTAGGTCAGTTTGTCCTCCCAATGGGTCACACGGGGACCAACCTCTCTCATCTAGTTTATAAAGTTTTTCTCATGTTTGCAGTACCAATGATAAAGATCCTTCTACTATTCTTGAACATGTCGAAACTGTACAGTGCATCCTACTGGCCGTCTACAGTCAAAATAACACACGATAGTCAACATACCTACGTTAAATATAGCAGTCATTTAAAGTGCGTGAGGTGGGAGTGGGCCAGGAAGGGAGACTGGCCTCCACCTCCCGAGTTCCGAAGCCTGTCATCCCCGCCGTGGAAGAAATAACATTACAGTTTAGAGTATCAGCTGTGCTCACCCCAATATGTTATCCTCGAGTTCTTTCCGACACACCACAAGGCTAGCTTGGCTTGGCCCGTTATTACACCACTGAACCCCTTGGAACCTGAAGAGGATTTGTGGATATGGTGGGTAATATATCCTTGATTCATGACGTCACACGCAGCAACCATGGTCAGCTCTGACGTCACTGGTACACTATCCGGTTGAAAGTGAACACATAATTTCTTATTTCATTATAAGGGAACGAAAGGTACAGTAAATCAAGCATTTTTTTTATAATTTGAGAGTATAAGCAAAAACCATTATTTACATCAAGTCGAGGAGTTTAGATTACATTTGGCAGGAGGACAATTATTATGTTAAGTAACGGATGTTGGCGGGACATTGGACAACACCAACTCGGGGAAACTGATAACGGGGACCTGATCAATGAACTTTATCCTGTAAATGTGAGGGGAGGCCGCGCGCAGCGACACCCGCCAGCAAGGACATGTAACTGTGCCGGCCAGGTGTCAGGCGCCATCACGGATAAAAACTTCACCTTCACTTACTCCAGCACCACCAGATACCTGCCTCACCGCTCTCCTCACGGCGTGTTATCATCGCGGTGCTACAGTACCCTCCTCCCCCTCCTCCAAACACACACACACACACACATGACTCCACAACATGGCTTTCTGCCAGCAGCAGTAAGTGGGCCACTACCTCACATATGGTTTGCTACAAACATACCGTGTCTGTTCACATAAATTAACTTGCTGTTTTAATTAGTTAGGTGTTGCAACATTTGGACCTCCCACCCAAACACGATCACATTATAATACAGTACTGGTAAGTGTCAGTCAGCACACCTCCTCTACCCGTGTTGATACTTGCTGGCTCTCTCATCGGCACCCATTGCGAGACAGACCAATTACTTTGTTTATCAGGACACTTCACAGTGAATACGCCATGACGTGCTAACATGCTAACCCTATTGAGTGGAAATAAACGTTGTAAACAAAGCGCGTGACGTAGAGTCCCTTTGGTGTTATTTGACGACGCGAGTGATACACAACATGTGGCTTAACCTCTTTCTCACCAACCAGTCAGTCACCCACACCTTCAGTACCCAGCCAGCCCTTCCCACATTGTCACACAGTACCTCCATCCCTGCTTCCTTCCTCTCCTGTCCTCCATATTTACCGAAACACACAACTCCTCTTTCTGACCCAACCCTCTCCACCCACGCCATTCAGTGCCAGTCCCCACCTCCCCCAACACCACGCTCAGCCCCGTACTCCACCCACCCACCTTCACCAACTACCAGCTGGCCCCTCCCCCTTCCTCCCCACCCACACACTCTTGTTTACATTGAAACCAGTCTCCTTATTTATAACACACACACACACAAACACACACACACACAAACACACACACACACACACACACACACACACACTTCCTAAGTTTGATTAAACCGTCAGTTTCGCCGTTCATCCCAATGTTCAAGTTTTTATCTATGTCTTTGCTGTTCTCAGCCTTTCTTGCTCACACACACAATATTATATTTATTGAAGTTATTGTTAGTAGGTAATTATCCCTGGTTTGTATATAAGGAAAATCGTGTAGAAGCATACACTATAAGTACAGTATCTTAAAACAAAACCAAACCTTACCTGACCTGACCCTACCGAACAAAATTTAGACACTGGTTATGTTATAAGAGTAACCCACGGGTTTGAGTTGAAACAACATATTTTACGATACAGTATATGAACAAACTTTGTTATGTTACAGCTAGAAAAACCCTAAGTTATCACTTTATGGAAAAAATATAGTTTTAATATTTAATATGACAGTTATCTGTATGTGTGTGTATGTGCTGGCGCGGCTGGTTGGGGTTCCATGTTTGTAACTCCAATACTTGTCCTTATTGTATCCTAATAAGTCACTTTCCACTCGTATTATGATGCAAATTGTGATATTTGCGCATTAGTTTATGACATTTCTTATTATATAACAAACCCAGTGTTATTAACTGACACGTTCAAGATCATTGCGTGTTTCATTAAGTACAGGAAAAATGGTAACAGAAAAATGTCTGACTCACCAGTTCGTAGGGAATACTGTTGGAGACTGTTCATACTGGAGGTGTTCTTGGCGAACTTACAACTTTTATTCACAAATATATCGTTCTCTCTTCTGTCGAGTGAGGAGCGGAAGTTGCCATCACCTGGTGGAGGTGTAGAGTGTGGCGCGCCAGGGTTGAGGCGAAACACTGGCACTCCCAGCGTTATTGCCAGTGTAGCACCCCAGCCTCACCTCTACCACCCTTGGCACTGGAGCCTCGCTGTCGTTCACACCTCACTCTCACAGTCTACATCACTGCTTCACCACAAGCAAGTTTTCCATGAATATACAAGTGTTACTTGGTGCCAAGGTATTACTAGCAGCCAGGTGTTACACGGGCACTCTACTTCCGCGTTACGTTCACAATCTTCCGCGCTGGCGTTTAGGATCAAGGAATTACAGTAGATTACCTATGATTCTTATCCTCTGTATGGTCATGTCAACAGTAGGTTCATATAATATTTACTATCTTATATCACTTAAACAAAAAATCCTGATAATTCCACGTCTCAATTTAATTTCCTCAGACCGTTTTCCCGTGACTTAGGTTGCGGATAATACCCAGTCACATCCAAGAAGCGCGGCGAAAGGAAGTAGGGAGGTGTGTGGTGGCGCTCTGGAGCCAGGGGAAGGTGTGAAGCGGGAAGGAGGACTGAACGCGGTGGCCAACAGACAGTCACTGGAGTCTCCCTGGAACTGTCCCGCACCAGCACCCACGCTGACTCTACAGCTGCCGGGGGTCGCTACACACCTCACCACTTCCTTGGAATGTTTGAGGAGACAGAAAGAAAGAGAAAAGAAAATATAAAAAACGGACTTCACCATCGTTCTCCTCAGAGTCCATCGTGTCTCTGCGGATAAATCAGTCTGTCCTCTAAAAAAAAAGCGCATTACGGGAGCCTTCATTAAGGGGATTGTAAAGTGAGGCGTCATAAGAAAGGTGATGACAAGTATCGTGCCAAACCGAGGTTAGTTTAAGTTAGGTTAGGTTACGTTACGTTACGTTACATTACATTACACTACATTACGTTGTTTTGCCTAGTTCATGAAATGGATTCCTAACCTAACCTACCATACCATTCGCCACCAAATCAGTTGTCCTTATACTAGGAAAAATAAATTAAAAACACACTTAAAAGGCAACAGTGACGTCTAAATAACACTTTAGATATTATTTCAACTCGATGGGTTCTGTCGTTGTCATTTAAGGGGTAAAAAAGGGTAAAACAGGTGACATTGGGAATTATAGGCCAGGGCCGCTTGAGACTGGTGGTGTGAGTGACCTTGCACACACACACACACACACACACACACACACACACACACACACACACACACATACACACACTTAATAAGTCGATGTTAACTGGGTATTTGATCGGTTCATTAAAGTCTGCACTAGTTTATCACTATTTATGGCTCCATAGAGATGTAGTTGCCTGGCTCACCCCCACCCCCCACCTTTCCATGCTCAGTGTGTGTGTGTGTATGTGTGTGTGTTTTATGTAATAACAATAATAATAATAATAATAATCAATAAATTCAGCGGTTTATTGAAAGAACATGGCAGCTAAAAGGATGAAAATATACAAATTATATACAAGTAACATAAGTGGTACAAATATGATATATAATAACAAGGTGGGGAGAAGGTCATTCAACAGGGAATTTCAACAGTGCAAAAATAAGATTGGATGGCAGCGAACACATGTGGTCGTATGCGATTGTAGTGTCGAATAGAATTTCGCGGACGTTTACTGTAGAATCTCGGGTGGAAGTAGGAAGCGGTGTCGAGGATGGTGCAGAAGCTTTTCCCCAAACTTGCAGATGTTCCCATGGTGATGATCAGAGAGAGCCGAGAGGGTCAGTGTGATGAAAGCTTCTTGATATGTGGAGTGGGAGTGAGAGAGAATAAATACTCTTGCATGCTCTATTCTGCACCTTTTTTTTAGGTGTTTCTGTTGTGTGGCATTTAGGGAGGAAGGCCAGGCTAGAGAAGCATAGGTGAGCTTGGAAAGTATGATTGTTGAGGGTGCTTGGGTGCGAGAACTCCGAAGGACTTGATACGATGGAGGAGGTAGAGGTGAAACCTGGAGGACTTGACACTTGCACTGACATGTCCCGGGAGGGTTGGTATGTATGGCTGTGTGGCACACGGATCCTACTACATTTGGTAACAAAGCTTCATATTACAGTAATTACGCCGAAATAAATACACAGGGCAGGAACGTGCATATCTCAATATCTATCATCTGTGGTCTCAAAATGTTTCACACAGAGACTTTTTTGAGATAGTGTGTGTATGAACGAGAGAGGTATTCCCTCTTTCCCCCACCCACCCCCACCACAGACGTCCTTGCCACCACAGCAAAAACCACATGTAGACCTAACAAGGGTAAACCCCCTATACCCCCCCCCCCCTCTCTAGCCCGCCCACCACTTCCTCAAAGACACCGTATCTCAGTTGCGGGTCGTCTTGCAATTGGGGAGGTTACGACTGAATCTTGTGATGTAATGACACGACTCAAAGACCGAAGACCTGCAGACTACGTAATTCACGAAATACATGAGTTGGGAGAGTTGTGACGCCTCACTGTGCCAGGAATATATAATAAATAGAGGGGGGGGGGGGAGAGGGTGTTGGTGAGCGGCGCTGAAGTAATGAGCTGAGCGTCTTGGTTGAACTACTGTAAAGGAGAGGTGATAGTCAGAACTTCATAAGATAGAAATAGCACAAGGTTGGATATTTAACGGGGGTGATATAGTGCTCCCGAATTAAAGATAAAACTTACGGATTTTTCATGGACAGAGTACAGTATTACTTTGGTGGGTTGGAGCGTAGAAACGACCTTTGATCTATGTTAAGAGAAATTATTCACATGGACCAATCACCATCCATGTGCTCACCAATGCATACCATTCAAATATTCAATAATTCCTGTTCTAAATTAATTAGGTTTTTCATTACTACAAATACGGTATATAGATCACACTTGTCAGACAGTGTAAAAAGCTTTTTTGAATTTTTAAGCTTATCCTATCAAAGTGAAATACTTGTTGATGTTTTTACTTTAATCGATCAGAGAACATAATGATTTACCTCACATTGTTCCTTTCTCGTGTGGACAAAGATAGTAAGTCATGTCGGTCGCTTGGATGTCAGTTTGTATTGAAATAAATATGTAGTGCCCACTTCCTCATTGTTTTGATTGCTAATTAATCCTTTCAGTATGAGCTCTTCTGATCTATTTTATTCTGGCTACCGACAGACGATTTTATTCGGCTGGGGAATTTCCATCTCGTAGTCAAGATATAGACTCAAACATCCAAAATCCATTTGCTCATAAATGCCCCATTTTACAAAAGAACATCTTACTTAGAACATGAATTCATTCCCCTCTCACCCTTTTGTAACTTTATTTTCATCTGGCTAGCGCTAGACGATTCCATTTAGCTGAGGAAACTCCGTCGGTATTGTCAAAGCATTATTCTGCATTGTAATCGTCCAAACTGAGATATTGTACCCTTTCCTTTTCACCCCCAGTACCCCGTCTCCCTCCCCCACAAAAAGACACCTACCCTGACACACCCTCCCCTCTCCCTCCCGCTCACTGGGCGAAGGCTTCGAATTCAGAGTTCAGTGTTTGGGGTTCAGACCTCAGGGAGAGAGAGGGTTGGCAACGCTAGGTGGTAAATGCAGGAGTGGAGCCAACTGTATCTGTTTCAACGCTTCACACACCTGTTTCAACGCTTCACACAAACCTGCTTCAACGCTTCACACAAATCTGTTTCAACGTTTCACACATACTTGTTTCAACGCTTCACATACCTGTTTCAACGCTTCATACACTTGTCTAACTCTATAAGATTGTGTCTGAATTCTATGCAGTTGCCTCTTCGCTACACATAAATCTATCTCAACATACACACACACACACACACACACATGTCTTACTGCTTCACAGCACTGATGTAGGTCTCGAGACTGGTTTATCAGGTCTCGGTCTCGGACACCCTTGGTCTTGGGTACTGGCTCGAGACCTTTGGAAACTACAAGCTCGTGTATTGATTTTCAGGTGCAGAGAGAAATTTAAATTTAAATATTTAATTGACAATAAAAAAATTATTACATCAAAAGGACAGTGTAATATACTACTCCCACCCTCACCTTTTAGGGGCTTACAAAAGGTTATAAACGCTATAACAATACAAGAATTATCTTTACAGCATATAAGATAGATTAGTTTGACATGAATATTTTACTATGTTAAAAGAACAGATAATGTAATCTTACACAGAGTTAAATGTCATTACCTTGGAGTAAAATTTGTATACATTTCAAGAAGTATTTTAATCTTTCCATTATTAATCATCCAACAAACTTGTTTCTTCAAAGTAGTGATCTCACTGTTCCTGTATGGTTGGATTTTTTCACATCCTATTACATAATGTTGCAGTGTATGTGGATCCCTAAGATGACACAGTTGACACGGTTTACCCGCCCCTCCACTTACCGTAACTGCCAGTAATATTTGTATCCCAATCTTAGTCTCATTATAACAGTGTCAACAGATGGTAAGTTAGTCCTGTAAGTTATATTGGTGTTTTGTAAAACACAACTAATGCTGAAAACTCTCGCTAAGAGCGTTGTTCAATTGCTTTAGTTTGGGTTCAGCTAAAGAGAGAGTTACCTCACCTTAGATCTCTATGGCCCTCACCTCAGCTTCATATATATAGCCGGGCATAAACTTTAAAAAATACTCTCTAATTCATTTTCCAAGTGCAGTAATTATAACCCAATCCAGACCAAGCACTGACTGCAAGTTTTTCCGCTTTGGAAGGATCCGAATGTTACTGTAATTGAAATTAATGAGCCATTATCATGTTGTGTAGATAACCATAAAAGTTTCATCCTCAGAGCTGCTTAAGAAGTGCTCTTATCTGGCTAACCTTCAGAATAAGTGCCTTGGTTGTGCTACGTTCGCCCATCACTGATTACCGTAATACTATACCACAGTACGTACATAATCTATTCATCGCTAAACAAAAATCTACAGAATATGAGTAAAATTTTACTGCATAGAAAACAAAATTCCACCAGCCTAGTTGTCAACCCTTGCCCCACCCCGTGGTCAAGTACGTATAGTATCCCCTTCAACAATCATTTTCCCCAACACTCCGACGGCAGGCTGACAGGCTCTCACCACAGAGTGTTGACCTCCGCTTACAAGGCTCCTTGATGAATTACTTCCCAACACCTCTAGTGATCGAGCTTGATACCTGAAGACGGAGATATCGACACAATTTTCTTTCCTTACCAAGGACACATAACTCATGCGTAGCCTCGAATGATGTCATTTTGCGACGCAGAGTCGAGTTCCTGATACCAGCACCTGGTCTATTAAATTTATTTACCTACCCTTGCGTGCACTCATTGCTCACAGTGGTAGTTGAGAAAGAAAGGGGTTTTTAATGAAATCATACTAATGTAATTATTACATGAACCTTACCAGAAGACATAAACCAATTTGTGTCCAAATTGTCGAACCATTTCTAGTATTGACACCAAATCTAATATCTGAGGAAATCTCGTCTTTATAACTTTGTTTAACGGAATAATATTTATTGGTGATAATACGTGTTGTTACTGTCATAATGTATATCCGGCCCCTAATC